AGTTGGCATCAAATAACTATATTTTAAGAAAAGTTGGAATCATTGACCTTTGCACCACGTAATGGCTAATATAGGACCAGATGTAGGCCTGAAGAAATAGCGATTGAGGACAAGGACTTCAAACCGTAACTTCTGACGACAAATGATTTTTTCTTCCTCCATCTTCAAAATATGACTTTTGTCCAAGAATTTCCGACTCTTGTGCCACTGTGTGTGGGCTGGCTGGGTAGTTTTTATGCAGCAACTCACGTATGCAATGGAGCTACATTTAACTCTTTCTTATTCAAGGGGAATAATGTTTCATGAATGTTTCATCGACTGACAATCCTATATCTTCAAATCGCAAGATGAGCATACTTGTCATTCGCTCCACGTGGAAGAATGGCCGTGACGAGTAGAGTACTCGTCATACCCAGTTACAGTAACTGGTTAGCCATATCTTGCCTTTCGAAATATGTTGCGTACCGACATAAGTATCCCCCAGGCTCGAGCATTTCCGATCGAGAAGATCTGGTACCAAACTCAATACTCCTCGAACATCTAAAATGGGTCTGGAAGGGTCTCGACCGTACCCTTCACCTCTCGGTCGAACGGAAAGAAAAAAGGTTTTGCACTAGTCATCCTAGCAGCAGCAGGCATTCGGTTCCGGCACTTACCAGAGATAACCTGACCGGCCCCGAAAACTTCTCGTCTGAAGCCGAAGCCAGTCGTTCGTGGATCCCAGTTCTATCGCGTCGGGGCACCGCATCCTTGTCAAAGTCGCGAATGCACAGTGCTGCGATTCGATTGATGCTTAAGGAAAACCACGAAGCGAAATCGCTCGAGTCGCAGAGGGTGCCACCGCAAGAGGCCTCTGCCTTCGACGCGGGTCTCTTATCTACTGCCCCGAGCATCTCGATGCGAATCCTTTGCTCCACGGAGACAACATTTTTCTCGTTTATGTCTGGAGCCGCGTAAGCGCCCCCTACAGCCTTCATCCCACACCAGGCATCCTTCAGCATCCCGCTGTGTGCCTAATTTTTGGGCCACCCTGTATAAGTGACGCTAGCTTCAACTCCATCGAACTCCTATGGACTCGTTTCTTTTTGCGAGGTCTTAAGTAGTGGATGGAATATTTGAGAAGATCCTGGTCGCCTCGGTTGGACTTTCAAAAGAGTGAATTTCACTTTCCTCTACGATCTCTCAAAAGGTTTCTTCACAAGTGAGTCATGAGAAGCGGCATCAAACCTTGTTTGTTTCATCGTCCCTTTGGAAGTAGAAGTTTTCCTGGAACTTCTCCTGCTAACAAGAAGCCAACAGGACGGTTGATGATCTGAATGGGATTAAACTCGGTTCTGCGTCGAAGACAATTTCAAGGACCCCGACTTGAACTACGAGGGTCACTCAATAAGTTATCTACCTGAATAAGAATGAAACATCCGAGGGGAAAACAACACTTTATTTTTCAATGTAGTCACCTTTAACTCAACACAAATATTCCACTTTGATTCCAAGGATTTTATTCCCTGGGAAAAGAAGTCAACTTCTTGTCCATCAAACCAATCAGAGACGGCAACTTTCAGCTCTTCATAGCATGAAAATCTTTTTCCCCGCAAAAATTTTTTCAAGTGTCTGAACAGAAAATAGTCACAAGGAGCCAGATCCGGGCTGTAGGGAGGATGGTTGAGCTCCTGAAAGCCACACTCCCTCACTGCTGCCTGAATTTTCCGTGATTTGTGGACGGGC